TCATAAGCCTCCTCACGTACACTACCCCTTGTCACCAACATCCCATGTGCAGTGAGTACAGCTCAGCTTATTCTTCTAGATACTACCCTTAAGCTCCAACGCTCTTGGGCCAAAGCCTGCGGCACTTCTTCACTTGTGGGCCTTTCCTCTGCGGTGATACTGGTACAATATAGGAGGACGTAAGGCCTCATACGTATCATATTGTTACAGTGACATTGTTGTTTTCCTCTGTTTTGAAACTTCTCATGGATTTTACAGTGACATTGTTTATTACCAAGCAGCCCATGAGGCAATGGATGCTGAAGATTACTGCCTACGCTGATCGTCTTCTAGAAGATTTGGACGAGCTTGAATGGCCTGAAAGTATAAAGGAAATGCAGAGAAACTGGATAGGAAGATCTCAAGGAGCTGAACTGAATTTTTCCATTCTTGATGGCGAAGGCCAAGAAACTGACAAAGAGATTACTGTTTATACCACCAGACCAGATACCCTTTTTGGAGCAACGTATGTTCAAACATTATGGTTCAAAATTTAAAATTGTGATTCTTGCTGGTCTTTATATGCTCCCTTCCCTTCTTCATTTTGCAGTTACATGGTTGTGGCACCAGAACATCATTTGTTGCCTTACTTCGTAACACCTGAGCAGAAACAACAAGTAAGTTTTATTTCTTCGTCTCTTTCCATTACATGAGTCCTGTCATTGAATTCATGAGTCATTATGGTTGCAGGTGGAGGAATACAAAGATTTTGCGTCGAGGAAAAGTGATCTTGAGAGAACAGAACTTCAGAAGGAGAAGACAGGCGTGTTTACTGGATGTTATGCGAAAAATCCAGCTAATGGGGATGCCATTCCCATATGGGTAGCTGATTATGTTCTAGCAAGGTATAACTTCAGTTTAACATTTTACATTGCTTTGAGTCGCATCAGTGTGAAACAAAGAATATTGTTATATGTGACAGCTACGGAACCGGAGCAATCATGGCCGTTCCAGCTCACGATACTCGGGATAATGAGTTTGCGTTGAAGTATAACATTCCCGTCAAGTGGGTAGTGACAAATGAGGAAAGTTCAAGTGACGGCGCTAAGCAGGTTTATCCGGGAGTGGGCATAATTGAAAACTCAGAAAGCGTGGAAACAGGACTTGACATTAATCAACTATCTAGCAAAGAAGCTGCTTTGAAAGTTATTGAATGGGCTGAGAGAACCGGAAATGGAAAGAAAAAGGTTTCATCGTCATGTCTTCTCTCATTTGGATTATGTGAAACTTTAGTTCTTGTTTCTTACTTCAAAGGTTTTTCTTTGGCAGGTAAATTACAAGTTGAGGGATTGGCTATTTGCAAGGCAGCGTTACTGGGGTGAACCTATCCCAATCTTAATTTTGGATGAATCTGGTGAAACTATTGCGGTTTCAGAATCTGAACTGCCACTTACTTTGCCTGAGTTGAATGATTTCACTCCCACTGGAACAGGGGAACCACCACTGTCAAAAGCAGTTTCATGGGTATGTTTTTGCGGTTAATATGATTAGTTTTCTTGGATACTTAAGATGGCTATGTACATTTTTGGTTATGATTGATGATTTTACAGGTGAACACTGTAGATCCTGGAACAGAAAAACCTGCCAAAAGAGAAACAAGCACTATGCCACAATGGGCTGGGTCTTGCTGGTAAATGTCTACTTGTAAGCTTTGTAGATTCTTGTGTTAGAAGCTCTTTACAAGGTTACTGGTGTGTTCTCGAATGATGTTGAGTTTTGTAGTGAGAACTAAACAAAACTTACATGATTTTCTGCTATATTTTCTTCATGATAGTGTCTTTCTCTCCAGGTACTATCTGAGATTCATGGATCCAAAAAACCCTGAAGCATTAGTTGACAAGGAAAAAGAAAAGTGAGAGCCTTTAACAAATGCAATGATTTTACTTTAAGTTTTGGGAAGATTCTTATAAGTGTTGTTATTCTTGTGGCAGATACTGGAGCCCAGTAGATGTATACGTTGGTGGTGCTGAACACGCTGTTTTACACTTACTATACTCTAGGTTTTGGCACAAGGTGTGTGTCCTTTGCAAAAAATTCTCTCTCTTTTAGCTTTCTCGTGATCAGAACTGCAAATCCTGCTATTGCATCATCGCAGGTACTTTATGACATTGGTGTTGTGTCGACGAAAGAGCCCTTCAAATGTGTTATAAATCAAGGAATCATCCTTGGGGAGGTCCAGTATACAGCTTGGAAAGACCAAGAAGGAAACTATGTATCTGCAGATACTGAAGAACGGTTAAATGAGCATCAACAAGTGACAATCCCGGAAGATAAAGTATGAACCTTCTTCGTTCTCATTTATTAATTAAACCTGTTTTGACTCTCTGGAGTTGTAACCTGATGATCTTTAATGGTATATAGGTTATGAAGTCTGGAGATCATTTTGTTCTGAAAGAAGACCCTAGCATTCGTTTGATTCCACGTGCTTATAAAATGAGCAAAAGCAGAGGAAATGTTGTGAATCCTGATGATGTTGTGTTAGAGTATGGTGCAGATTCTCTACGTTTGTATGAGATGTTCATGGGACCGTTTAGGTAACCTTCACTCCCACATTTATCTCTCTACTGGTTTTCTCTGCGATAACATTACTGCATTTGCTTTTACTAGGGATTCAAAGACTTGGAACACAAGTGGGATTGAAGGCGTGCATCGTTTCTTGGCAAGAACATGGAGACTAGTCATCGGTTCTCCTCAACCTGATGGATCTTTCAAAGATGGCACTGTAGTGACTGATGATGAACCGACCCTTGAACAACTCCGTTCTCTCCATAAGTGCATTGCTAAGGTTGTCCTACTCCCAGTGTGATCCCTTTAGGTTTTGATTACTTCCAACTTAGATAGATGTATAACATTTGTAGGTGACAGAGGAAATTGAGAGTACAAGATTCAACACTGGAATTTCAGGGATGATGGAGTTTGTTAATGCGGCATATAAGGTATGATCTCAAGACTCCTACACAAAGTCAGCTTCGTTTACTTGGCTTTCAAGTAGTGATGTTTACTCTTGTTTCTTCTCATGTTAAACAGTGGAATAATCAACCTAGAGAAATCATTGAGCCTTTTGTTCTTTTGCTCTCACCTTATGCGCCTCACATGGCTGAAGAGCTTTGGTCACGGTTAGGCCATCCGAGTTCTCTGGCCTATGAAAATTTCCCTGAGGTACACAGCCAACATATAAACACAACAGAGGAGAGTGTTTAACAGTATTGAGTATTGAGACTGTTTTGGTTTTTATGCAGGCAAATCCGGATTACTTGAAGGACACAACTACTGTACTTCCGGTTCAGATAAACGGGAAGACAAGAGGCACCATAGAGGTTGAAGAAGGATGTTCTGAAGACGAGGCTTTCGCTCTAGCTTCACAGGACAAGAAACTTGAGAAATATCTAGACGGACAATCGATCAAGAAGAGAATCTATGTACCTGGGAAGATCCTCAACGTTATCCTAGATAAGACTAATGTCAAGGTCACTACAAAGTAGACAAACATTACTCAAAATCTCTGTTGAAGAGTTTCAGATATGTTTGAAACAAATAAAAGATTTGATTGATTCTTAGAGATCATCAGAGGGAGCAACTTCTTTCCATCCATTTTGCCGAGCTCGAAGCTCGCACATGTAAGACAGTCTTCTCTGTTTGTCTAGATTCGCCTCTGATTTCTCTCTTGCTTGCTCACAAGTCTCCATACCCATGCTGCATTTATCAGCCTCTTTCTGATACTGAGACGCTGCTTTCTTAGCATCTAGCAGCAGTCTGTCGGTACGCCATTCATCTTCTATAGCTTGTAGTTCTCTTAGCTTCAACTCTTCCGCTACCATTTCTGTGAAACTACTCGCTCTTTTCACTCCCTTCCTCACGTCTCATACGATCTTGACAATGAAACAAGAACCAATATATGAAGTCTTAGCTTCGTCTTCACGTTCTTACTAACTATAAAAGGTATTGCTAGAGAACACTCACCCAAGAAGGTGTAATTGAATCCTGCAGAAGAAACAATGAATCACACATAAATAATTGAAAATTACCACCTGCAAAAGAAGAAAAGAAAGATGATTACCGTTACGAATGGAGAGGAGTGGCTGAGAAGAACAGTCACAGACACAAAGACAAGAGGAATGGAGAGTCTTTAATGGTCTCGTTGAGATGCCAATACAGAGAACGTACTGCAATGTAAGCAAGGATGCAGTCCCATTACCCCTGTAACCACCCTTGCCGTTTTCTTCTGCCTTCTGATCATCTCTCTACTTGTCTCTCTCAGCAGATCACAACTTTTTTGAATCTGAAGAGATTCTCTGTTGGTGGTGGAATATTCCCTTCTACAAAGGCCTACTGAATAATGGGCACGGCCCACACGAGGACGTTTAAGCAAAATGCCCGGGCCCAAGCTTAACTCGGATAATTCCCGCAATTAGCCGAATTAAGGACGTTTAAGCAAAATGCTCACCCTCGCGGGCCGATCGCGGTCCATTTGGTAAAAGACCTCCTAACCCGCGACCAGTTCGTTAGGTCAAGGCATCGCCGCTATAAAAAGGAAAGAAAAGTTAACGAGGAAGGGATCCGAAACCACTTTCATTCACAAGGCGGCTAGAATTAGAGTTTTCACTCTTGTACTTTCTTTCCAACTTGTACGGCACGGCTGAGCTCTCCGCGAGACTCTGCCTCGCCTCTCATTTCCTCATTTGTAACCGAACTCCCTCTTTAATAAAGCTTACATCTCGACTCTAAACAATAAGAAAACGCCTTTGAAATAACCCACAGACGAGTCCAGTCACTCACTCGCTGAACAGACTGAACTCGGTTCAAACAGTTGGCGCCCACCGTGGGGCATAAAAAAGTAGCGTCAATAAAAGTTATGAGTCCAAGTAACGATTCAACCTCCGGCGACGAGGAAGATGCCGCAGCACCGACCTCAGGTGCCGCAATACCACTCGCTCCCACCTTCGTCGACTCCGTCATGGAGCGCCTTGCTCGTCAAGACAAAGCCCAGAAGACGACGAATGAGCACCTCGCTGCCATCGCCGCCGTACTCGCAAATCCCGACGGTGCGCGGAGGACACCTTTCCACAGCTCGGCGATTTCTCTTCAACACAAACCCTACCCCTACTCCGGCGGACCAGCCCATCTTGCCGACCGGACCCCAGGATGACTCCGTACAACCGGGAAATAGCCCAGATCTGCAAACTATCCAGGAAATCGCTGCCCTCAAGTAAGCTCTCCTCGATATCAACTCGAAGATTCACGGCGTCACGAATTCCGCTCTGCTCATCGAAAGCGTCCTTGCAGACACTCTCCGGACTCCGTTCACACAAAAGATAACCGGCGTAAGATGGACAAGATATGCTTGCACGGCCTCTCGGACCCAATGGCCCATATCACGTCCTTCAACATCGCGATGTGGCGACACAACTTATTCGACGAAGAACGAGACGCCGGCTACTGCCAACTCTTTGTCGAAAGCCTAACCGGCGTGGCGCTCACATGGTTTATTGGCCTTCCAGAAAACTCTGTTGACGGCTTTCACGACTTATCGTCCGTGTTTTTGAAGAACTACATAATGTTCACATGCGAGGAAGCTACCGCGTCCGAGCTCTGGAACCTCTCCCAAGCACAGGGGCAAAGCCTTCGTAACTTCATGGAAAAATTCAAAGGGATTGTGTCCAAGGTCAAAGTCCCAGATAGCATCGCTGTCGACGCCCTCATGAACACACTGTATGTACACTCCAAGTTCCGAGACGACCTCTATCGTCACCCAACCAAATCTCTCTCTGATGCCATTGCTCGATCCAACAACTTCATCCGCATGGAAGAAGATACCAAGGCAATCATCAGTAAGCAGAAGGCTACGAAGCAAGTGTCGTCAAAGAGTAACGACACCCGTCCGGAGCCGCGTCAACACGCCCCAAACGACAAAGCGAACCCCAAGAGAAGCTTCATCTACATGGTCGACGAAGATAACCTCCCGGGCTCGACGGTCGTAGTCAGAGCAAAGAGAGGGAACCACTGGGACAGGACGGACGACGAGCTAAAGCCAGAAGGCGTATCTTAAGCCTCAGGATCGAAACCCGATGAATCGGAGAAGTACTGCTCCTACCACAAGAGTAAGAAGCACGACACTAAGGAATGCAAGGTTCTGTACGAGCATTTCCTCTCCTCGGTTGCCAGCGGTAAGATCGAAATCGAACCACCCAAGACCAAACCAAAGGAGAACAGCTGGAGCAAGAACAAAGACAAGAAGAGTCGAAATTCTCAACCCAAGACTCCACGACCCGAGCAAAAGAAGGACGCCGAAGAAAAGGCCCCCAAAGCACAAGAGGAAGAAGACTCATTCGCCGACGAGGAGCAGCCGAGAAACTGACGAAGAGTCAAAGTTATCCTCGCACGCCCAAGCTCAGCAACGAGTCACAAGCCCGAGCTCGCGCAAGAAGATTTGCGTACACACCTTAACAAACGGCCTACAGAGCGGGATAGCTTAAGCTCGGCCGACCTACGGCATAAATTAAAGCGAAGAAATGTCACGGCCGAGACAGCGCCGTCTGAGTCCGTCGAATCCGAAGACGAGGTCGCTGCTCCAGACGTACCCAACTCGTCCCCTATCAGGACCAACTTGAGGGACCACCTGAACTCGAAGGTCGCCGACCTCCGTTTTAAACTTTGCAAACAAGAAACCCTAGATCTGCGACAGCAGCTCGATGCGAACAAAGGCGACCAGACCAAGGCCGAACCGACGACAATCGTACACTAGCCCTATGACTTATGCGCCCAACTTGAAAGTAAACGAGCTAACGTCATCATGGGAGGTTCACCCCCATGCGGCGATTCAGTCTGGTCTATCAAAACTCACCAGCATCAGGCAAAAACTTCACAGAAATTGCCATCCGTACCGAAGAACGACCTCCCGTTAACATTTTTTCCAGAGGACGCGCTCGGAGTCCATATGCCGCACAATGATCCCTTACTCATCGAGTTGGGCATCGTGGACTGTGAAGTAACCAAGGTACTAATCGATACCGGTAGCTTGGTCGACCTCATCTTCCACAAAACCCTCGAGAAGATGGGGGCCGACCTGCATCTCATGAAACCGTCTAAGCACTCCCTGACCGGATTCAACGAAGTCTTGGAAGAGATGATCGGTACCATCGGACTCCCGGTCTATGTTGGCGGAGTGACCCGAATGGTCAAGCTTTCTGTAATCGCCACAGATGCGCCTTACCACGTCATACTCGGCACACCGTGGCTCCACTCGATGAAAGCCATTTCTTCAGCATACCATCAGTGCGTCAAGTTTCCAGGAAACGACGGACGAATCAAAACGTTATAGGGCGACTAACAGGCCACACGCGATCTCCTAATTGCCAACGTCAAGCCTCAACAGCCGACTCCCCGGGTGAACGCCGTCGCGAAACCCATCCATAAGATATACCCTCAAAGAGACGAAGTCCTCGAGGTGCATATCGACGACGAGGATCCGAGCAAGATCGTGCGAATAGGAGCATACATCTCTGACGAGATACAGCAAACGATCCTCGCCTTCCTCAAAGAGAACGTATCGACCTTCGCATGGACCACCTCGGACATGAAGGGGATTGACCAAAAAATCACATCTCACGAGCTCAATGGCCGAACCCATTATTCAAATAAACCAAGTAGACAAGCCCGTCCCCAACTCAAGTCCCAACTTGGGAACGAGTCTGGGGGGGGGGTTACTGTTGGTGGTGGAATATGATATATCATGGATTTTACCCGTTTTCAGCCATGATTTATATATGTTTTTGGAAACAAAAGGATACTTTTGGTGTCCTTTTAGAGCTTTTACAGATTCAGGTACTCACTGGTGTAAAACATGCATTTTGGAGCTAAAATGGAGACTTTATGAAGATATAAGCAAAACGATGTTTAAGCTATCAACCGACGCACGTTGAGAGCAATCGACCGATAGATGATTACCCATATCGATCGATAATGGCATTTTGCATTGATCGATACATAAGTTATCCAAGCGATTAAATGAAGATTAGAAGCCCTAATTGCTTCACAAGAGTTTTAATAATTTACACACTAAGTCCCTGGCCGCCTGTTAAGCTATATTAAGAGGGTTTTGTATTAGTTTAGGTAGACAACTTTGGAGACCTTTTAGACCTAATTAGAAGAAGCATCTAGCTACACTGGAGAAGAGTTTTGATGGAGAGAGAGATCTGAACTACAATTACAGAGAAGATCTTGAACTCTTTTTTTTTACGTATTGTTTCTTTTTATTATTATCTTAAAGTATTATTCAGACCATCATGACTTTGTCTCTCATGAATATGTTTGAGTAGTCTGTCTTGTTAGATTTAGGTTTCTCATTAAGGTTGACTCATGCATTGAATTGAACCATTATTAGGGTGTTTAAAATATAGTTCTCAATCTAGTTATCAATGAATGCTAAGGTCAAGGATTGATCACCCTTGCCTCTGATTTTAGGATCAATTTGGACAAGCGATAGCTTGGCAAATACCCTAAGTCTAAGTTAATTTAATGAAAACTAGATAATCCATTCAAACACACCTTTACCACTCGCTGGATGCGATATCGATCGACGAGACGATAGTCGTGTCGACCGATATAGCAGCATTTACATCGATCGATAACTTCGACAGAAACATCGATCGATATTCCCTTCAGGTTATCGGACGATAGTCCTAACCCGAAATCCAGTGGGGTTAATCCTTAATTTCCTTAAGAGTTTGAATCCAGAACTATGAATAGTAAAAAGCCTTTACAAATTGCATGTATGTCATACCTGATAAAATACCTAAGTTTAACTATCTTCTTCTTCCTT